GAGGGCGGAGCTGCACCAACGGCCCGCGGGGCGCGCGGGCGGCCGGGCGGGGGCCGGGCGGACGTGTGGGAAGGGTCAGAGTCGTGTGCAGGGCTGAGTGAGGAGGGCCGGGTTTGGGGCTGGGGACTGAGAGGGACCCGGGTGGGAAGGGGAGGCGTTAGAGCTACTTTCAAGGAGAGTTCCATGGGGTAGTGGGGCAAAGGGCTTGGTGGTGGGACGAGTTCAGGACTGAAGGGTGGGGACAGTTAGAAGGCGCTTGGGTGCCCGAGGTGGGATTTAGGGCATAAGAAAAGAGGTAATTAAAGTAACGGAGGGAAAAATCTAGCTATGCTTGGAATGACGATTAAACATATTAGGAATATTAGAATAACTAAACATATTAGCCTTAAACATATTAGGAAATGGTTAACCCTAGAGAGGAGATTTAGATAATGGAGAGGTCCAGGTGTGAAGAGGGGGTTAAATTAATGGGAAGCAGCGTTAAACCAACGTGGTTGGGAGGTGGGGGTCGGGTACCCTTGGAATGCGTTAAGAGGGGTCTCTGTACAAAGAAGGGTTATGTCAGTGTGAAAAGAGTGTCTGGGTGTCTGTAGCATGAGCTTGGGGGGAGGTAGTCTTTTTTTAAAGTACAGGTAATTAGGCCAAGGTGAAGATAAGATTGGGTATTCCTGGGGTGAGGGGTAGGGTGGCGAGAGAGATCTGTTTGCCAAAAGGGGGTGGTGCCTGGGTATTCTTGGAATAAGAATGAGGAGATGTTAGGTTGATTAGAAGTTGGGGGTCTGGGTATCCCCTGAGAGGTGTGCTGCTGAGAGGAGTTTGGGTGTGAGGAAGAGGGCTGTGACTACTGGATTAGGGTAGTGATGGGAGTTCTGCATGTGTAGAATAGTGGTCCGGTTATCCCTAAAGGGGATTTGGGCAATGGGAGGGGGATGTGTGAAAGGAGTTTAAGCCATTGTGAAGGGTAGTCTAGCTATCTCTGGTCAGTGAGGGGTATTTTTACAAAAAAGAGGAATTAAGTTGATATGGGGTGAGGAGATCTAGGCATCCCTGGAATGGGTTAGGGTGGAATTGGGTCTTTTTGCAAACAGGACTAGGTTAGGTTAATAATATGAAGGGTGATCTGGGTATCCCTGGAATGGGTTATGGTATGTGGGTTTGTAAAGAATGGTTTTAAGTCAATGTGAGGAACGGGTGTGGGCATCCTTGGAATGGTTTAGGGTTGAGGTGGGACTTTTTGCAAAGAGGGACTTAGGTTTATATGAAGAAGGGTTTGGGTGTCCCTGAATGAGTTAGGTTGGCTGTGTATGAGAGAGAGAGAGAGAGAGAGAGGCTTAAGTCAATGTGAAGAGGGGACCTAGGTATCCCAGAGGGAATTAGAATTAAAGCTTTTGTCTTAGTACAAAGAAGAGTTCATTAATGTGAAGAGTGTGTAGATACTCTGGGGGCACAAGTTAGGGTGGTGGGAAGAGTCTAGGTATGGAAAAAGGATTAGGCCTTTGTGAAGATGGGTCTGGGTATTCTGGATAGGAAGTTAGGATTGTGGGAGAGGGCCTTGATTTGTAGAAGGGCTTAAGTAATTTGAAGAGCGGAGTCTGCGTATCATGAGGAAGTAATTAAGGTGGGAAAAGTCAGGGTGTGGAGATGGGTTAGCCCAATGTGAGAAAATTTGATCGAGGGAAAATATGATGTGAGGAATCTGGGCACCAGAGGGAGAGAGTTAGTGGGTGGCAGGAGTTGTGTGTAAAGGAGAGGGGTGGCACCATGTAAGGATGCCCAAAGTAGAGTCATGGGCATTGGGGCTGTTTGAGTGGTCTGGGTGTAAAAAATCTGAGAACCTGGGAGAAGGTGCAGATGCCATGGGAGTAGTATGGCAGGGAGAAATAGGTGGTTAAGGTCTATGTGTAGATTCCCTTGGGTACCTTGGAGAGGGAATGGGGTAACATGAGTTGGTCAGGAGAGGAGTCAGTGGAAGGAAGTCTGAGTGGAGAGAAGACAGGTTCCTGTGTGGTTGACAGGACCTTCAGGCCTGCTGTGAGGCATGGGAGATTAGGGATTGGACAGGTTACAAGGATCTGGTGGGTGGAGTTTGATGTGAGTTGATTCAGAGTGAGATTTGGGGTAGATTCCCCAGGAAGGGACTGCTGGGAAGATTTTGTGTTTGGTGTTTTTGTTTTGTATGTTCAGGGGAAGAAGAATTGTTAGGGAGGGGGGTGGGAGTAGGAAAATTGAAGGAATTTGCCAGCCAGCCCCCCAAAAAAATCAAAGGAAGAAGTTAATGGGTGAAATAGATCTAAGGTATTGAGAGATGGGGGTGATAAAGGGCAAGAACTGTCCCTGGGGAGGACTGAGGAAGCAGTACCTAACTGATTTGTCCACACTGTCCCCTCTCCCAGACCAGGGCCTTGCTGCCGCCATGACTGAGGAGTCAGAGGAGACGGTTCTGTACATTGAGCACCGCTATGTCTGCTCTGAGTGCAACCAGCTTTATGGCTCTCTGGAGGAGGTGCTCATGCACCAGAACTCCCATGTACCCCAGCAGCACTTTGAGCTGGTAGGTGTGGCTGACCCTGGAGTCACTGTGGCTACAGAGGCAGCTTCAGGCACAGGTCTCTATCAGACCCTAGTGCAGGAGAGCCAGTACCAGTGCCTGGAGTGTGGGCAGCTGTTGATGTCACCCAGCCAGCTTCTGGAGCACCAAGAGCTGCACCTGAAGATGATGGCACCCCAGGAGGCAGTGCCAGTTGAGCCACCACCCAAAGCGCCTTCCTTGAGCTCTAGCACTATCCACTACGAGTGTGTGGACTGCAAGGCTCTCTTCGCCAGCCAGGAGCTCTGGCTGAACCACCGGCAGACGCATCTCCGGACCACTTCCACTAAGCCTCCCACCCCAGTTGTCCTGGGGTCCCCAGTTGTCCTAGGGCCCCCTGTGGGCCAGGCCCGCGTGGCTGTGGAGCACTCGTACCGAAAGGCAGAAGAGGGTGGGGAAGGGGCAGCTGTCCCGTCTGCAGCTGCCACTACCACTGAGGTAGTGACTGAGGTGGAGCTACTCCTCTACAAGTGCTCTGAGTGCTCCCAGCTCTTCCAGCTGCCAGGCGACTTCCTGGAGCACCAGGCCACCCACTTCCCTACTCCTGCCCCAGAGTCTGAGGAATCTGCCTTACAGCAAGAGACCCTGACTCCATCATCTGCGGAGATGGCCGTGTCTCAACCTGACCCCCTGCCTGCCTCTGACCACAGTTATGAGCTTCGCAATGGTGAAGCCATTGGGCGCGATCGCCGGGGTCGCAGGGCCCGGAGGAACAACAGTGGAGAGCCAGGTGGGGCAGCCACACAGGAGCTCTTTTGCTCAGCCTGTGACCAGCTCTTTCTCTCACCCCACCAGCTACAGCAGCACCTGCGGAGTCACCAGGAGGGAGTTTTTAAGTGCCCCCTATGCAGTCGTGTCTTCCCCAGCCCTTCCAGTCTGGACCAGCACCTTGGAGACCACAGCAGCGAGTCCCACTTCCTGTGTGTAGACTGTGGCCTGGCCTTCGGCACAGAGGCTCTCCTCCTGGCCCACCGGCGAGCCCACACCCCAAATCCTCTGCATTCATGTCCATGTGGAAAGACCTTCGTCAACCTCACCAAGTTCCTTTATCACCGGCGTACCCATGGGGTGGGGGGTGTCCCTCTGCCCACAACACCTGTTCCTCCAGAGGAACCTGTCATTGGGTTCCCTGAGCCAGCCCCAGCAGAAACTGGAGAACCAGAGGCCCCAGAGCCCCCCATGTCTGAAGAGAGCTCAGCAGGGCCAACTGCCCCAGGCACTTACCGCTGCCTCCTGTGCAGCCGTGAGTTTGGCAAGGCATTGCAGCTGACCCGACACCAGCGTTTTGTGCATAGGCTAGAACGGCGCCATAAGTGCAGCATTTGTGGTAAGATGTTCAAGAAAAAGTCTCATGTGCGTAACCACCTGCGCACGCACACGGGGGAACGACCCTTCCCCTGCCCTGACTGCTCCAAGCCCTTCAACTCGCCTGCCAACCTAGCCCGCCACCGACTCACACACACAGGTGAGCGGCCCTACCGGTGTGGGGACTGTGGCAAGGCTTTCACACAAAGCTCCACACTGAGGCAGCACCGTCTGGTGCACGCCCAGCACTTCCCCTACCGCTGCCAGGAATGCGGGGTGCGTTTTCACCGCCCTTACCGTCTGCTCATGCACCGCTACCACCACACGGGCGAGTACCCCTACAAGTGTCGTGAGTGCCCTCGCTCCTTTTTGCTGCGCCGGCTTCTGGAGGTGCACCAGCTTGTGGCCCATGCTGGGCGCCAGCCTCACCGCTGTACATCCTGTGGGGCGGCCTTCCCCTCCTCACTGCGGCTCCGTGAGCACCGCTGTGCAGCTGCTGCTGCCCAGGCCCCACGGCGTTTTGAGTGTGGCACCTGTGGCAAAAAAGTGGGCTCAGCTGCTCGGCTACAGGCACATGAGGCAGCTCATGCAGCTGCTGGGCCTGGAGAGGTCCTGGCTAAGGAGCCCCCAGCTCCTCGGGCCCCGCGGGCCACTCGCACACCAGTCACCTCCCCATCAGCCCTTGGAAGCACTACCACCACAGCCCCTGTGGCCCCTGCCCGACGCAGGGGCCTGGAGTGCAGCGAGTGCAAGAAGCTGTTCAGCACAGAAACATCGCTGCAGGTACACCGGCGCATCCACACAGGCGAGCGGCCGTACCCGTGTCCTGACTGTGGCAAGGCCTTCCGTCAGAGTACCCATCTGAAAGATCACAGGCGCCTGCACACAGGCGAGCGGCCCTTTGCCTGTGAAGTGTGTGGCAAGGCCTTTGCCATCTCCATGCGCCTGGCAGAACATCGCCGCATCCACACGGGCGAACGGCCCTACTCCTGCCCTGACTGTGGCAAGAGCTACCGCTCCTTCTCAAACCTTTGGAAGCACCGCAAGACCCACCAGCAGCAGCATCAGGCAGCTGTGCGGCAACAGCTGGCAGAGGCAGAGGCTGCTGTTGGCCTGGCTGTGATGGAGACTGCAGTAGAGGCACTGCCCCTGGTGGAGGCCATTGAGATCTACCCTCTGCCTGAGGCTGAGGGTGTCCAGATCAGTGGCTGACTGCCCCATTTCCTTCTTTCAGCACTACCAGGCCCTGTTGCTGAAGGTCCTCGTCCAACATTCTCTTAAACCTCTGTATGTGCTGTGTCCCTTCCTCTTCCCCTCCCCACCACCATGTAAGTTCTGTAGCTAGATTTATTCTCTTCTCAGGGGGGTGCTCTGGGGTCCTTGATATGCACAAAGGTCTTCCTCCTCCCCACCTTCTACCTGTTAGCACTGATGGCCCCAAAGTGAAACAGTAATAAAGACTGAGTTGGACATATATATGCTTTTGTCAGGCCCAGCTATGCAAGGTGGAATTTAGGGGTCATAAGTTCAAATACTGGGTCTCACTTCTTGTGCCTGCATTCCAAGCACCCAGAACAGGGCCTGGCAGACAGTTGGAGAGAAGGATCTGAGGTCGGGGGCCTGGCTCTCAGAGCTGAGACTTTAATCTGGTGCTAGATGAAGGCAGCATGGAGCTCTGCCACTAGAGGTCCCCACAGCTTTGTGGAAAAGCTTGAAGGTGCTTCTGTCAGTGGCAGGAACATTTAGAGAAATCTTCAGATTCTTACCACCCCCATCTCCCAACTTCTGGCCTGATGTGTGCCTCATCCCCCAAGGCCATCTGATTTCCTCACTGGATCCCTGGGAGCAAGCGTAGGTTGGGCATGATGTCTGGGGCAGTAAAGGAGGGTAGCTCCTGGGTCCAGACCCAGTTGGAGAGTTGGAGAAGATACTGAATAATATTTGCCTTGGGTAGAAAGCCTCTTAAGGGAGAGAGACCTTAAGTGCCCCCTGGAGTTGAACTTTGGCTCAGCCAACAGATTTTTGTTGTAGGGAGAGGAATTGTTGGGGTGGCTGGTTTGAACATCTAGTTTGTCTCAAGTACATTTCTACATCACTTTGAATAATATTCACACTGATCCTGTGTAAACATTTTGCAGGGAAGGAATCTGAAGTCAAAAGCATTGAGGTGACTTGCCCAAGGTCATTTCAATCCAGGCAGGTCAGAGCTTGAACTTAAGCCTGGTTTCAATTGATTTAATCACCCACGTGCTTTCCTCCTCACTCTGCTGCCTTCACATACTTAGCGGAGTGTGGTGGAGATAGGAGATGGGGAGTGTGACTAGTGGAGATGCTCAGTTGCTGCGTTAGCCGTTCCTTTAAGACACCCCTCCCCCCAGATCCGTCTGTTGGAAGGAATTCAGAATCCCAATAAACAAGAGGTGAAAGGGAAATTTCTTGTGTTGAAACTCAGGGAAAGGAAGGCCTGAGACCTGCCCACTTGGCCTCCCCATTCATTACTTTCTACTCCCTTCAGCAGGCCTTTAACCATCCATGGCCACTAGGGCTCTAGGACATTGAATATTACTGGTTTAACTTGTTCAGACAAGAAGAGAGCTAGGAAGCAGATCTCTTAACTCCACTACTTTTTTTTAACTACATTATGCTTATTTTAATCATTTCTAAGGAGAAAAAGCACTCACCCATTTGATGTCCTAACAGCTTCTATGAAGAGCAATTCTCTATTAAGCAGTTGTTTCCCACTAAGTGTTGATCATTGGCACCATCTTTCAGTAACCTCATACCCTGCAGAAACAACTTGAGCCATCTTAGCCCAACATGCAGGGTCCTCACCCCCAGATAAAGTCATTCCTGAACCACTCCCTCTCAAGAAGAGCTGTAACATCCTGAAAATCATATCAGGTGCCTAGAACAATAGGAGTATCCTCCTTGCAAAACCAGATAAAAGTCAGGGTTCAATCAAGAAAAGGGATGGGAATGGAGAAAAGACCCTAAGGGTATGGGTTGACAACAAGATAAAGATGCTCTCAGTAGAGAAGAATGGCTCTATGACCAGGATGGTTATTCTTCCTCCATTGTTTTTTGTTGTTGTTGTTGGGTTTTTATTTTGTTTTGGCAGCTGGCCGGTAGAGGGATGAAACCATGGACCTTGATGTTATCAGCAGCACTGTAACCAACTCAGCTAACCGGCCAGCCCCATTGTTCTTTTATTGGCACTTGTAATAAAGGCTTTAAAAAAGTTTGTGTGCAAACACAGGTGCGAACAAATTCGGGGGACTCAGTGTTCGCCATCATCCCGCTGAAACTTCCATGGTTCTTAGGTGAACCATTGTCCTAAAAAAGATAGCACTAGTCATATATTGGGTGCTGGTGTTTGAATTAGGCAAAGGTTCCTAAATTTTAATGTGCTTTAGGCAGTTCGCCTTGAAAATTGGATCCAGCAAGCACTCATGGAGTGAGACCCAGGAATCTATTGTGCATACCAATTCTGATGAAAGGAGTTTGCAGGCCCTTCTAAGAAAAGGCTTGCATTGCCTGTTTTTATTTGGAATGGAAGTTGTGCAAGCTAAATAGTCAAGGGGACAGAACACTGGGCTTTTAGTGCCCAATATGTTCTTGATGAGAGAAGTATGACTAGAAGGCAGGACATTTAGAGCAGTTGGGTATATTCACCAGGCTACAGGTGGACATGTAGTTGAAGCTTCAGGACAAGCAGTGAGTTCCAGACCCCTAAGGTGTGCTATCTGCTTGTCGCAGGATGATCTAGATGACAAAGCACTTTTGGGTCTGTATGTTTTGTTTTGCTTTGTTTTTAAAGATGACTGGTAAGGGGATCTTAACCCTTGACTTGGTGTTGTCAGCACCACACTCTCCCAAGTGAGCCAATCAGCTATCCCTATATAGGGATCCAAACCTGTGGCCTTGGTATTATCAGCCCCGCACTTTCCCAAGTGAGCCACGGGCTGGCCCTTTGGGTCTGTATGTTGACCTTGAAGGCAGGGGGCTGGACAGAATGATCTTCCTCAGTGTACTATTTTTAAGCACCATTCACACTGACTTGTCTTAAGAGATGGGGAGGTACTTTTTTTTCTTACAGTCTTGCCAAGACTGCAGTTCTAACACTTTTTTTTTTTCCTTTTTGTCTTTTTTACTGACCGGTAATGGGATCGCAACCCTCGGTGTCGCGCCCGCACCGCACTCAGCCAGTGAGCGGGAACTGGTCTCCACATGGGATCCGAACCCTCAGGGGGAGCGCCACTGCGCTCCCAAGCGACGCACTCTCCAGTGCGCCACCGGGCCGGCCCCTAACACTTCTTATCTTACTAAATTATCAACCCCCTCTCTCTTCCTTTTCCCTATTCCTCCATCCCCCCAGCCTTCACTATTGAATTTACAGGATCCGAGATCTGTGTGCCAAGCATACATCAAGAGGATGGAACAGTGGCAAGGAGACCCAACAGCTCAGTATATTTTCATGAGAAAGCAGTACTAGGGCTGGCCCGTGGCTCACTCAGGAGAGTGTGGTGCTGATAACACCAAGGCCACGGGTTGGGATCCTATATAGGGATGGCCGGTTAGCTCACTAGCTGAGCGTGGTGCTGACAACACCAAGCCAAGGGTTAAGATCCCCTTACCGGTCATCTTTAAAAAAAAAAAGCAGAAAGCAGTGCTAGTACCATTCTGATTTTCAGTGATGAGGTCTTGGGGGTCAGCCCATGGCCTGGCTGTTGTGAAGTTGTTGTCTCTGCCAAATGACTTAAGATGGGCACAATAATTGGAGTAAAGAAGAGTTAATTAACATCACCCCCAAACCGGCCAGCTGTACAAAAGCCAGCAAAGAGTTAACGTCACTCTAAAAAGAAAGGGGGGCTAGGGCGAACATTGGACTATCAGACAACCTGAAAATCAACTCGTTTTAAAGAGCGTTTTTAGGGCCGGCCTGGTGGCGCACTGCTACAGTGTGCCACTTGGGAGTGCAGCGGCGCTCCCGCCGAGGGTTCGGATCCCACATACAGACCGGTTCCCGCTCACTGGCTGAGCGGGGAGCGGGCGCAGCACCGAGGGTTGCGATCCCGTTGCCGGTCCCGGTCCGGTACGGGCACGATACTGAGGGTTGCGGTCCGTTGCCGGACACGAAAAAAAACAAAAAGGAGAAAAAAAAAAAAAGCGTTTTTAGTCTTCGGGAACCATCCATGGATGGAGGTGAGGAAGTGCTTGCTTGGTATCTTGGCTTTCTCATTCTCATTTATTGAAGACTGCTGAAAATCTGTCCTGAGCACTTTACACCATCATCTCCTTTGTTAAAACCCTATGAGGTAGGTATTGTCCCTGTTTTACAGATGAGGCCACTGAAACTCAAGTATAGAAGGTCATGTATCTAAAAAATGGCAGAAGTGAAGTTTGAATTCATCCTAAGTTCCAAGACTTGATTTTCTGATTGGTGGAAAAAATTGTTCAAGCCTCACTCTTGAACATTCACTATTTGAACAGAAGTAAAGCCCTCCCCTCCCCAGCACATTTCCACCTCACCCTGATTTCCTCACCACCCTTCCCAGGGCAGAGAGTCAGGAAGCCAAGGCAGAGCAGTCATTTCTCTGTACAGTTTTTAATTTTTTATTTTTTGATGTTGTTCAGATGAATGACACACTCAAGTTACAAAAATGGGGCCTTAAAAGAAGCACATTGTACAATGAACAAGCAGATTGGAGTTAAGAACACTGAAACGCTAACCCGCTACCACAAGAAAAGGAGGGGCATGGTACAGGATGGGAAGGGAGGGGGCTACAAACACAGGGGTCAGATGTAACTAAAAGGAGGGCTAACCTGGTGAGAATGGAGGAAAGACAGGTCTGCTCTGGGGCCTACTCAATTTCTGAATGCTGCTTCTTGGTCTCCTTGCCACTACTTGCCACCCTCTCCAACTACCCCCACCCCCATTCCACTGTGGTCATTCAAGTGAATAGGTGAGAGACACCCACCCTAAAAAGGACTGAGCCAATCAGATCTTTACAAGGTTGGGGTGGTCACCTTGCCATAGTGCAGCCCTGGATTTGGGAGGTGATGGTGGCAGTGGTGGGATAAGAGGCCAGGAAGGAGCTAGCAGAGTTGATCAAAGATCAACTCTTGCTTTTCCCAAAAAACTCCCTACCCCTTCCCAACCCCACCATGATCCAAAGTCCCTCTACAAGTTGTTGAGATAGGCCCCTAGTCACCCTGCAATTACATAAATAAATAAATACTGAGCCCCTGGGCTTGGGGGAGGGGCAGCAGGGATAGAGGAAAGGAAAGAGGTGAGGAAGGGGAGGAAGAGGGAAGGGGGTCACAGACATAGTAAATAGTTGTCTCCATCCCAGCAACACTTCTCTCTGGATTTTCTCTCCTTTTTTGTTTAACAGGGAGCTAACATTTCAAGGACAAATACTTAAAAATATACATTATTTTTCTTTTTTTTTTCGCCTTTGTCGTCGTCATCGTCTTGCTTTGGAGACTGCTGAGGTCAAAGTTCAAACCACATGAAGGAATTGCGGCTTGGAGTTTTTGTGTATTTTTTTTTTTTTTTTATTTTAAATTTTTTTTCACTTTTTTTTCCAACGTATAAAAAGGTAGCGGAGTTGTCTGTGGGTTTTTTTTTTTTTAATGGTTAAATCTTTGGTTTGTTTCTTTTTTCTCTTGGAGGCCTTTATATCTCGCACTTGCCTTTCCCACTCAGAGACCAGTGAGGGCCCGCGTGTCTCAATCTTGCTCAGTCTCATTCTTCTCTCTCTCTCTCACTCACTCAGTTCCCCCTACCCTGGGCTAGAGGAAGAGAGAAGCACCCTGGGATTTGAGTGGGTGAGAAACACTAGTCAAGTCAAGAGGTCACTGACCATTTGGCTAGTCCCTTGCCCTAACTTCCCAGGGTGCTGGGCTTGGAGACCCTCTCTTGGCTTTCCAAGGGAGGAGATGCGTGGAAGCTTATATCCTTCCGCCTCCTGATCTTAGCCCCAACTCCTATAGGGGCTTGGGTTCCCCAGCTCTACTCACCCACACACACACTCCCAGCCCCTCTTCCCACTTCTCGTCTCCCCCCACCACCTGCCGAAGGAACAGAGAGAGGTGGATTAGTTACTGGCTTTTTTTTTTTTTTTTTTTTTTGGCAATTAAAAGGCCCACTATTAGGGTAGACCCAGTCTCTATCCCTTAAGCAGGAGGTCAGGGTTGGGGAGAAGAGAGATTCAGAGGGCTCCCTCTTATTCCAATCCACTTATCAATCCTCTTTCTAGCCCAGGCCCCTGCCCCCTACCTCAGACATCTAACCTAGCCCAGAGCCTGGCCTGGGGTCTCCCTCCCCAGCCCCCACACAAAGCTCCCCAGCCCTCCAACTCTCATTCACACACAGACACACGGACACAGGCTCTGTACAGACCACAAAATAAAAACAATGAGATAGTTTTGTTTCCTGGAGTCGAGACGGGGGACCAAGTAGAAGGGGCAGACGGGTGGGGGCATGAATTCCCCCATCACCTTCCCAACCCTGGCTCCCTCCAGCCCCCCAGCCCCTTGCCCTGGCTGGCCCCCAGCCAACGATATTTGGTTTCCTTTTTTTAACATTAAAGTTCTATGAGGTATTTGGTGCCTTACTCGAGTCCTCGGGGGAGGGGGGCCCAGGGGGGAGACCTGGGGCTTACCTGCCCCTCCCTCCCTCCCACCCCCTTCCCAATATTTGGTTTCACAGCTGTAGTTAAAGCTTGGGATTTGGTTATTTTTCCCCCTCCCAGAAATTTTCTTTCTTGTTTTTCTTTTCCCAGTTGTGGAGGTTGGATGGGGAGAGTCCCCACAACCCCCAGCTGCATGGGGGTCCCTCCACAAATGTCAGGGCATCTGCCCCATCCCTGCCCCCTGCTTTCTCCTCTCCTCTTTGCCCCACTACCTCCACAATGGGGTGGGGAGAGGTCCCAGGTGGTGGGACTTGATGGGGAGGAAGCAGATGAAGTGGGTGGTGGTGAGTCCTGGATTTTCTTTCCTTTTTTTTTTTTTGGTCTAGAATCAGTTTTTGTTTGAGTCATCTCCACCATGCCTTCCATGCTTCCATGCTGCCTGTCTTCTCGGAGGGGTTTTTTGGTTATAATTCCTTTCATTTTGCTCTGCTCAAATGTACTACTTATCTGGTCAGGTGCCTTTGGCCCCCTCTCCACCTTTGGGCTGGGGCCCAGGCCCTCTCACCAGTCCCTTCTCTCTTCAGGAAATAAAAAAGGACAAACTTAGAGGTAGGGTAAGGGCAGGGAGTCGGTTCAGCGGAGATGCTTACATTCCGGCGAAGATGGGTTGACGAGGTGCTAGGCCCCATCAGTGCCAGGGGTGGGAGGGGCGGCTACTCCTCTGCTGCCCAGACAAGGCATATGGAGGCCCCTGCAACAGCCGAGTCTCTGCTGTCTCTGTGGCCAGGCCCAACAGTTTCCTTTCCCAGGGAGGAGAAAGGAGATAAGAAAAAAAGAATGCTGAGGCCTAGGGCTCCGTCTGCATCTCCTTGGAGTGTCCAGCAGAAAGTGTGGAAGCCGCCAGGTGCAGCACCGCCTTCTCCCAGGCTCTCCCCTTCCTCTGCTCCTGCCCAGGGGCCACTCTGTAGCCACAGGGCTCCACTCTGATTTCAATGGCTCGTGTCCTTCACAGCAACACTTTGGTTTGAGGAGAGACACATAAAGAACGAGATTGAGAGAGGTGAGGGAAGAGCGAGAGAAGAAGGAAAAGAGAGGAGAGAGGACAGACAAAGAGAACAGAAAAAGAAATCAAAGGAGGAATCAAAACACCTGGAAATTGTTAGTTCTTCATCCAATCTTTTTGCTTTCTTACTCCGTTTTTTCCTCCTGTCTTTTTTTTTTTTTTTTAAAGCTTTTTCAGTTGATTGGGGGGCGGGGTGTTTGGGGCTCTTCACCCCTGTCCCTGACACCCTCTCTCTGCCCCGCCCACCTATTTCCATCAGCCCTGGCTGAGGGACAGGCCCTGCCCCAGCTGTCCCCCTCCAACTTTCCGGAAACGACGTCCATGAGGTATTTATGAAGAGAAAGAAGCATCCATCTTTCCATCCGCCTTGGGGACCAAGGGCCTGGACCACTGGTGCAGGGGCTTGGCTCCCCCTCGCGGCTCCTTCTTATTCTTGAAGAGTCCTCATCTTCTTTCCCTTGTGTGTGTGTGTGTGTGTATTTTTTTTTTCTAGTTTTAATTTATTGTTTGGTTTTCTGTTTTTGTTTTTGTGTGTCTGTGTGTGTGTGTGTCTTGGTTCAAACTGTTGTTGGCCTCCACAGTAGCAGGAGGGCAAGGTGGCTCCCAGCAGCGTCTCTCTTCTGTCCTTCGTTGAGACGTGTCCAGGGCTGGGCAAACACAGGGTCCAGCCAAGACTCGTGGAGGTCTCATGGGAGTGGTGCCCACCACAGTGCCCTCTCAGATGGGGACCACAGGTCATGGCACTGTCCCCGCCACATGGACCCTGATGGGGACGCCATCTCAAGGGACCCCACTACTGGGGAGTGTGAGTGTGTGTGGGGGCGGGGGGTATTTGCCAGTATAACAGGGGCACAGGGTGGGAAGAGCAAGAAGAGTTCTTTTTTGGTTTCTGGTTAATGTCAAAGAACGTGAAGGATCCCACCGATAGGCACTGGAATATGAATTTTTTTTCAGGGAAACTGACAGAATGGAAAAAAAGACAACTTGAATGCCCTCACCACATCTCCTCTTGCCTGAAACTTCCACCTTCCCATCGACTGGGGAGGGGGTAGATTTCAGAACGGTGGAAGGTGACAGGGTTGAGGAGGGATTTGTGAGAGCTAGAACTTGGCAAAATAGCCTAGCCCACCCTTCAAAGGGAAAAAGGGGAGGCACAGGGGACGAAAAGTCATCCCCAGGCCTTCCCTGAACTCTGCCCTAGCTGGGGGTTGGGGGGAGGAGGTTAAAGCAAGACCCCTGCCCAGGTAGGGAGAGCTAGGGGCAAGGGGAGAGGGGGACACATGGCAGGGACACATTCTGTTGAGCACAATGCTAAAAATTCTGTACATCCTTTGGATGAAGCTACTGAATATTTGGTGTAAGGTTGTTCAGGCCCTTTCTCTTTCACCTTCTGGAAAAGGACATTTGGCAGGGGAGTTCTGAGCCCCAGCCCATCTGCCCCAGGCTGTGCCTTGTCTTCGCTGGCCCATGGCTGGGGGCAGGGGCTAAAAGGCTGGCACATTCTCTTTTTCCTTCTCTAACCCCCACTGGGAGAGGCAAGGTTGGGGGTTGGCCCCGCAGCCAGGGCTCAGTGGCATGAGGTCCAACCTGCCGGAGGTTTCTCCGCCCTTGGCTGGGGTTCTTATTTGGTGTCGTAGCAGAGGGTGAGCACGCTGAGGTCTGGCTCATAACTGGTTTTTGGTATGATTTTGTGGGGGTTTTTTGGTTTGTTTTTGGTTTTTTGTTTGTTTGTTTTTCACTTCTGGTTCCTTTGGGGCAGCTGGTTTCTGTTGTGAATATTTTTGGTTTTCTTTTTTGTTGGTTGGTTGCTTTTTTTTTTTTTTTTTTTTTTTTGTTTGTTTTCTTTTTTTTGGTCTTTCCTCCTTTGTCACTCCTGCTCCAAGGACCCTCTAGGCCCCACTGCTGGCCTCTTCACCCTCTTCCCAGCGGGGGACCGAGGTGGGGGTGAGAGGAGTGGGAGGGGAGGCGTAGAGGGCTCTCACTCAGGCTTGGACCCTGCCTCAGGCCCTGGGCCTCCAGGGGTCTGTGCTGCTGCCTCACTGCAAGTGGAGGAGGAGGACGAGGATGAAGAGGAGGAGGAAGAGAGGCCAGGCGACTTGCTGGAGATGGAGGCTGCCACAGCCGCAGCTGCTGCCGAGACCAGGCCCACGCCAGGCGGGGCACTGAGCAGGGGCAGCCCAGCGTGGTTCAAGAAGAGTGGTGAGGTGACCAGGCCAGGGCTCCCTGGGGCCGCGCCGGCTGCCCCCAGCACCAGGTTCCCGCTGCCATCAAGGCTGGTAAGGGGCAGGGTTCCACCAGAGGCCAGGGCTGGCAGGGAGAGAGAGAGGCTGCGCTGAGGGCACGCCGGGCCAGGGGTGACCTTTGTCCTGCCCAGAGTGCCCCCCTGTCTTCCCATCTGTCCCACTGACCCCCATCAGCACCCCTCACATCTTCCCCAGAGGTGAGATGGGCATGAAGAGGCGAGCGATGCAGTGAGCAGGGGCAGGATGGCATGGCTGGAGCAGCAATGGGGGGGGGCTCGAGGCCCCAGGGGGCAAGACTGGTGACGATGGGAGTGACATGAGGGAGCACGCACCTTGGATAGTGGCCAAAGGGTTGTTGCTCATAAGGGCTGGACTCAGCCCGGAGCTCAACCCCACCATTGTGCTTCTGCAAGAGGCAAAGCAGAGGCATTAGCAGGGGTGGGGCCCGCCAATGAAACTGGGGTGCAGCTCCCCATCCTGGAAGCAGCAACAACCCTGCTTCTCCCACAGCCTCCCCACCTGCAGCTGTCCACTTACCCCGTGCTGGGGTTCAGGCCCGACAAGCCGATAGCCGAGTGGCTGCCTTGAGGGCTGGGATTTGTGCTGTTGGTGGTGGCCGGGGGTGGGGGGGTGACAGAGGGGATGGAATTGAGGGGGGGCACAGCCCCGCCCCCGCCCCCGCCCCCTCCGGCTGTTCGGCTGGGGTGGAGCGTCCCCACAGCTGAGGATAAGGTAGTAACTGCCAGAGAGAGACAGAGAGATGGGGTCTTCAGCTTCCACTCATCCCCCACCGAGGAACCTGGGATCATCTCCTACTTGTCTTCCCCGCCCGTGCAGCATCTCCTCGGTCAGAATAGACCTAAACCTCCCTGCCCTCTCTTCCCAGAGCCATTTCCTTGTACCTCTGCCATGGTGATAGCAATCACAATAATCAAAGTAAGAGCAGCTGCCACCTACTGAGCCCATGCCCTGTGTCAGACATACACTGGTACTCTGCATGCCCCACCCTGAATCACTTTCACACAGGCAAGTGGAGACAAAAGCCCTATGGCTCCCTCTAGAGGCCAGGGAGGGGGCAGGGGTACGAGGCACTCTGCAGGCTGCTCAGGAATGGGCAGCGTGGGGCGGGCTGAAGGCCCGGACTTGTCCAGGCTGCCTGGGTAGAAATCTCTGGCTCTGTCGAGTCCCAAATGTGCCCATGGGCAAGTGCTTTAACCTCTCTGACCTTCAGTTCCCTCATCTGGAAAATGGGGATAATAATAGAATCTATCTCATAAAATGGGTGTGATAATTACACCCTTCCTCCTTTATAAACCTCCACTTATTATTTCTAACCTGCAGAGGAGCAATAGTGTGTTTGTTTTATATATATATATATATATATATATATTTATTTATGTTTTGTCTTGTTTTGGGTTTTTTTGGTGGCTGGCTGGTAAGGGATCTGAGCCTTTGACCTTGGTGTTATCAACACTTCGCTCTAATCAACTGAGCCACCTGGCCAGCCCTTATTCTTTTATATTACTCTCATATATATGGTGTTAAACATGCCGTGTCCCAGGAAGGGGGAAAAGGAGGCTTTGGGTACAAGACTATGCATGTGTGTGTGTATATACATACACACACGTACATACAGTCGGCCCTCCATATCTGGAGGTTCTGCATCTGCAGATTCAACCAACCATGGATCAAAAATATTCAAAAAAAAAAAAAAAGAACCATAAAAAATAAATACAACATCCCCATATCGGCCAGCCTAAATAAATAAATAAATAATACAAATTTTAAAAATACAGTATAACTACTTACATAGCCTTTACATTGTACTAGGTATTGTAAGTAATCTAGAGATGATTTAAAGTATACAGGAGAATGTGCATAGGTTATATGCAAATACTTCATCTTTTTACATAAGGGACTTGAGCATCTGAGGATTTTGATATCCCCAGGGGGGTCCTGGAATAAATTCCCTGCAGATACTGAGAAACAACTGTATACTCTTGTATGTACATATTTATGTATATATCTTCTGTATATATTATACATTCACAATAATTTTATAAAAACTGAGGCTCAGAGAGGTATAGTAACTTCTCCAGTTCACAAGGCTTATAAATGACAAAGGCCAGGGACAAAACCCAAGTACATCAACTTTCAGCAACCCCACACCTGCCTTCTTCCCTCTGTCCCTCCCCTCCCATGCCTCCCACACCCCCAGGCTCAGCCTTGAGGCCCGTGGACACCCAGAGCTGCTTGAGAACCTCAGGCTCCAGCCTGTGCAGCATCCTCCCAGTCCCCCCTCACCATCTTCTGCCCTCCCTGACCTGTTGTGCTCAGACTGCTGGAAGCTTGGGACAATGGTAAGGTCCCCGCGCCCCCTTGGGGTGTGACCTGGTGAGAAAGGAAAGGAGGTATGGTTAGGCCACAGTCTCTGAGCAGCCACATGATACTACCTGTGGGTATGACCCCCACTCCTCTGCCCCCATGATGGGGGGGACTCCAGGACAGAGGAAGAGGGGGCTTTGGGTACAAGGCTACATTTATATTATACCGCGGCTTTCCCTCATACTTTCTTCACATTCAGCAGGTGATCCTGAGCCACAAGCAGGAAGGACCCATTCACAATTGGGAGCACTCCCCACCTCTCATCTGACAGTATCCAATCTGGCTAAAGTCTGCAGTGCTGCGTCCTGTCTGAAGTGACTGTGCACCTGAAGAGCAGCTGCTCTATATGATCCTGCTATTGCTGGTTCTGCAAAATAAAAAGCCCTTTCCTAGAATGAACAAATGCTGCCCTTTCAATAGCAGGGCTGGCAAGCAATGCAGGAGAAACTGTCCAAAGTGACTCAGGCAAGGAAGGTACAACTAAAAGGGGGGGGGGGGGATTTAGGAGGATAAATTGATGCAAATCTTTGACCTTGTCCTTCCCTGGCTCAAAACCACTCCTTAGCTCCTCACTGCCCACGGTTTGAGTTTAAGCTCCTCATTGTGAAACTTGGGGTGTCTGCCCCCTACCCACCCCACCCCCACCCTCATTCATATACATTGTAACTCCAACCACACTCAATTGCACTGGTGTTCCTCAGATTGGGCTTGGCATACTCTGGCTTCTAGGCCTTTGTTCACACTGGTTCCTTCACCTGGAAGGCCCTTCTCCTTCACATGGCTGGCTAACTCTCTTTTGTCCCTTATGACTCAGCTCAGACAGTCCCTCCCTCCTCCACACTACTGGGGGCAGAGGGCTCCTCTCTGGAGCATTACAGCCCTTTCCAAGAGTGGAAATGAAGGGACAGAATAAAGAATGTCTCAGTTGTCAGATACTGAGCGGGCCAGTGTGCGGCTGTGGACCTGAGGGTACACCCATAGGTGTAATGATGTCCCTGCCAGGTAAATAGGCACCTCTCCCTATCTCTGTGGTTGTGAACCTGTGTATCCCTTACCTGGCCCATGTCCCTCCTGGACGTGTGTATCCATCCCCATATGGCTATGTCCCTGTGATAATAACTCTAGATCTGGCTATGTCAGTGCATATCTGCGGGTGCTTGTATGCCCCACATAAAACCATATTTCCCTGGAAATTGTGTGTCCCTGTGTGCCTGTGCTCCATCTATGTGAGAGCCTGTCGCTGTGAGTGACTCTTCCTGCCTCTGTTCTGGCTCTGTCGACACCCAGGTGGGTTGTGCTTCACACAGGTGCCTGCCGAGCTCTGTGCTTCCCCACCACCCAGAGGGGCTCTTGGTACCAGATGGGGGCTGTAGCTGGCAGGCTTCCCAGGGCTGGGCAGCATGGGGGCGGCGCTGCAGGGGTTGATGCGTTTCTCCTTCTGGCGCCGGTTGCAGAACCAGACGCGGATCACTTCCTTCTCCATGTGCAGCTGCTCTGCGATCAGCAGGATCTCCTCTGAGGTAGGCTTCTGGTTCTGCGGGCAGAAGGCTCCTTAGCCCCAGGCCTATCTGCCCGCCACCCCCAGGGCCGCCCAGGAGGAGGGGCCTCACCGCTAGAAAACTCTTCTCTAAGGCGAAGCGGACATTTGTCTCGATGCTGGTCCTCTTCTTGCGTCTCCGGCCGGGCAGCCCGTCGAAACCCAGGCTGGGGCTGCTCAGCTGGTTGGGGCTGGGCAGGCTTGAGTCCACGGACATAGTCTCTGTGCCCGGGAAGAGACGTGAGCATGAGAGCGCGCCTCCCCCGCCACCGCGCGCGCCAGCCCACAGCCGGGAGCCCCAGCCCGTCCCACCTGCGTCGTTGAGCCACTTCTCCAGGAGGGGCTTGAGTTTGCACATGTTCTTGAAGCTCAGGTTGAGGGCCTCAAAGCGGGAAATGGTCGTCTGGCTGAAGTCGTTGCCGTAGAGCTTGCCCATGGCCAGGCCCACATCTCCCTAGGCCAGTGAGGCGGGGATGGGGCGGAGATCAAGGCGGGGCCTTCCGGCATTGGGCCCACCAGCGGGTCACGCCCTCACACGCCCATCAACAGGCCACCCCCCTTCACCCCTGTGCCCACAGCCCAGCCTGCAAGGCGGCCTCATACCTGCGTGAAGCCCAGCTTGATGCGGCGTTGCTTGAAGGTGCGGGCGAACTGCTCCAGCTCCTCCAGATCACTGGGCTCCTCGGGATGGGACGGTGGCTCCAAGCATTTGGGGGGCTGCGGGTGCGAGAGGTGCGGGTCGGGCAGCGTGGGGCGGGTCACAGCCTGGTGGGGTGGGCAGGTGGGTGGGATGCCGGACGAAGGACCAGGACGGGGCTTAGCAGTGGCTGCACAGTCCCCTCTCCCTCCCTCCTCCCTCCCTGCAGTCCGGCCTCTTCCTGCAGACCCTCCTCCACCCGCCCTGGAGGCCCCTTCAGGCCCCTCCAGGCCCCTTCACTCTCATTGTCAATCCCTTTGAAGGTTTGACTCTGCTGCAGCACATGGGTCCTCCCATTGCCCGGGACTCTCTGCACCATCTCTTCAAGCCTGCAAACTCCCAGAAAGAGCAGCCAGCTTCTTTGCCGAGGGCTCTTTCCCTGTAGCTGGGGGTGGTGGTTTTATCCTCCTCCCCACCAGGGAATCAAGGACTGGCTCTGCCACGGAATTGCTGGGTAGCTTGAGCAAGCTTCTCAACCTCCCTGGGCCTCACTTTTCCCCTCTGCAGGATGGGAACAATAACTGCTGCTCTGCCCACCCAAGGGGGTTGCTGGAGAATCGGGTTAGGTTAGAGAATGAGTAGGTCGTCCAAACACATAGAGTGTACAACAGCGAGACTGAAGTGCACCCTAATGTAAACCATGAACCTTGGGTAAGAATGATGTGTTCATCATATAATTGGTTCATCAATTTTAACATGTACCACTCTGGTTGGGGATATTGATACAGGAAAGGCTGGGGGGTGGCAGCATATGGGATATCCCTGTATCTTCTGCCCAATTTTCCTGTGAATGTAAAACTGCTCTAAATTGTCTTTAAAAAATGAGTAGATTGTAAATAAAGTAAAAGTATTTTTTAAATGGATGGAAAGGACAATTCGGGGGACTGATAAAGAAGCAACAGCTCTATCTGGAATGCTTCATTGCCCTAAAAATAAAACATCCAAAACAGGTGGTGGGTGCAGGGATGTTTATCTCCCAAGTCCTTGATCCATTACCCGAAACCCTGGGGCCAGATACGTTTTGGAATTCAGAAGTTTTTCAGATTTTAGAAAGCCTACATAGGTCATATTTCATAGATTATGTGACACACACACACCATTAGGGTCAAGGCATCTCCCCAAAATCAGACATGTTAACAGTTCTGCATCAGCAGGAATATCACACCACAAGGGGTAAAGCAGTCATATACTGCCTCGTGTCAGGGCAGGTTAGGTTTTGTAGTCAAATGAGTTCTGATGCCAACATTACAAGAACAACATGTTAACAGTTCTGCATCAGCAGGAATATCACACCACAAGGGGTAAAGCAGTCATATACTGTCTCGTGTCAGGGCAGGTTAGGTTTTGTAGTCAAATGAGTTCTGATGCCAACATTACAAGAACAACTTGACTTTCAGAGCATACTGGATTTCAAAACTGCAGCTAAGATCTGTATTGGTCTTTAAACTTTCAGTCTTTCTGAAATAGTGCATGCAGTGGATTGAATTATGTCCCACCAAAACTCGCTGAAGCTTGAATTGTGGCACCAAGTTTTATGTATTAGAAACTTGGTTCCCACTGTGACTGTTAAGAGAGTGGGAAATCCTAATATGGTAATTGAAAGGTGGAGCCTTGAAGAGGTGATTGGATTGTAGGACTGTGCTGTAGTGAATGGATTAAAAATGGTGGTCAAGGCGTGGTTCTGAGGGCTTTAAAAGAAGAGGAGAGTCTGTCTTTTTCTCTCTCCCTTGCTCTCCCTGCTCTCTCTGCTTCCACCATCTTACAATGTGAGACCCCTGAGTCACTGTCACCACCACCAGATGAACTTTGGACTACCCAGCCTCAGAAACTGTAAGCAACAAATTTCATTTTCTTTATAAATTACCTAGTTCCACATATTTTGTTATAACCAACAAAAACAGACTAATACAGTGCATACATTTTTTGAAAGGGCTGTAAAAAGGGTGGGAAAAAAACTTTGAAATCCATAAAGGATCATGAAATATTATTAAATAATAATCTAATAATCTAGAATCCAGGCAGCAAACTGAAAGAAAGACTTTG